TAAAAAAAATTCTTTAGCAAAATCAAAAGAGTTTCATATAAAGAAAAGTTAATTCTCTGGTCCTTAATAACTTTTATATTTTTGAAAATCTGAATTCTCCACAGCTCGCCAACCTGACACTTTATTATAAGACTCAAAACATCATTCATATCCAGAGACGCGAGAATATGTTAATGCAGTTGTTTTGAAAGTGTGTTTACGAATGAAGGAGCTGAAAGAACGTACGTGAGTTAGGAGTGTGTGAATAAATACAGCAGCAGTGAAGTGTCATAATAGTAACTTTGACACAACAGAAATATAATAGCTGTTACAACATACCTGGTGAGAAACGAACTGTCGTGGCATCACCTTGACTCATGACAGCCTGAACAAAGATACACTTGAGGAACACATCGCAGGGTGTAGGGAGTAAGACGTGGAGGAGTGTAAGAAGGAAAGTTTAGAGATGTTATGTAATGATATAGAGGAGGTTGTGGACAGTGATGCTCCCCCCTCCTCCTCCTTCTGACAACTTAACGTTACTCAGCAGCACACTTTCAGACCCTAAACATTGGTGGCTGGACCAACTAGTTAGACCGATTAATTATCATAAAATTACTGTTACAACTTCCAACCTCGCTTCTCGTCTGGCAGTTGTTCGGGCGCCGCCAGAGTAGGAGCAGGTGAAATATCCTAAATCCAGTTGTCCAGCAACCGAGCAGATATTCCCAGTTACAGCTTCTGTTATTAGGAGTTAAGTGTTGCGGCTCTATCTCGTTATTGCTCTTGAAGGGAAGTGTAGAGGCTGGAGCTACAGTTATAGGTGGTACGAATAATTGCATCTTAATTGGTCTTGCTGTAAGTGTTTGTTATATTTTCATAACATTGTAGTCGATGGTTCATGCTCATATGTCAGTGGGTGGAGCTGTCTAGCACCGGACCACGTCAAGGGGGTAACCTGCCTAAGGGGCTGTTGCTGCTGGGTGTCTGGGTCTGAACCCACGCTGGTCGTCCCCGGTGAGGGCTGAAAGTGACTTACAGGAGGGTCCATAGTCTATGGCTGAATCTTACAGGGTATGGTGAAGGTGATCCGTTACAACATGTGGAGGTCGCTGAGGCAGAGGCGGAAGCTCAAATGGCGTCAACCACAGATAGTGAAGCGGATCTTTGCTCACGGCGACCATGTTGGTCTGGCTAAAACACCCCAGGTAGTGGCTGGCTGAGCTGATAGTAAAACGTGCTGAATATGTTTGCTCAATTTTTTGTATGTACTGATCCTCATTTAAGTTTTTGATGTACAAAATGAGTCAAGATCACATTGAACTACTTTTTATCAAAGTGAGAGCATGGGAAATTGTAATAATAATCCAACGTCTTGACAATTCTCTTCTGCATATAAGAAATTGTTAGTGCATAATGACATACAGGATATATTCGGTGGTAACTGTTTGTTATTAGAATCAGTGCCCACACTAACAGTGCCCATCAGCCATGTATCTAATGCACAGATAGACAGACAGCCCTTCTACCCAGGCTACTTTAGCGAAATATGGGATGATCCGTGATGCACAAGTGCGGTATACAGTAAACAGTTCACCTCAAGGCTACAACCTACAAATAAAATGAAGTCGTCAAAACTCCACGAAACTTATTGTGTTTAGTGGTCAGTAAGGTTATAAAGTACTTATACAAATTATATTATATTATTTGTAATAATTTACTGTTTTTACCTGTCACTGACTGTTTAAAAGCACAAGTCAGGAACATTTATGCTACCTAGTTTTTAGGTAGCGGCGGTCAATGGTGACTCTTTTGCCAATATCAAGATGGCGGCGCGTGGGACGACTGACTTCAGTCTGGCCTGTGTGTATTGCTGCCCACGTCTCTAGTCATAAAACCTCCTGGGTTCTACCCCTCCTGTTGTTGACTTTTCAAGATGGTTGCTTGGGAGCGTCCGTCTCAGGAATGTTGACGGGACAGATCTTCATCTTTCGGCAGAACTTTATTCTTGGAAACTTTTCTTAGCGACAGTTTTTCTTGTGAATGTTCCCATAAAATATGAGTAAAGCTTTTCCTCTCGTTGATCAGACGTCCTCTAAGGCTCGTCTTTTGAAGCCATCACTCGGTCCTCGGCGCACCTGTTGACTCGCCTTTAAAGCTTTCTATGTTCTGACCAGCGCGAGTTAAGATTTAATACACGCCTGTGACCAGCTGATGCCACCTAAGGGGGTTGATGATGATCTTCTGATTTACGCCAGCCTTTTTTCTCTGCCTCTCTTTGAAGAGTCAGAGAGATGGTCTGAAATCTTATGTCTGGGATAACGATGTTGTGTTTATCCAGAAGACAGTTACTCTGGAATCCTCCTCTGCTCCGGTTTCTTCAGCCAGTGGTAGACCTTCTTGCTTTTGATTTTTCAGCTGTTTCGAGAAGGTGTTGGTGATGGCGGTAAAATATTTAGAGAGGAACTCCCGGGGGAAGCACCTCCAGTCCTGTCGAAGATAGGGCGCTCAGTCTCACGGGACCGATGGAAGGGGTGAGGGGGGGGGGGGAAGGGCCTCCCCTATTGATGGTGGGGATGGGGTTGAAACGTCGCGTCCTCAGTATAGAAGGAATACTTCTATACTGAGTTCTCTCCTCCTTCGGGACATTCTTATTCTGTTATAATACTGGGCTGTGTGGCAGCTTTCATTATAAAGAGCTCAGTGCTTTCGAGGGGATACTCTGGGAAGCTCCTCTTACCTCCTCTCCTTTCATCGGGGAGGACTCATTCACTTGTACCGGCGGTGACTTCCTTTGTGAGGAGAGCAGCTGTCCTGTAGTTCCGTCCGTCTTCCTTCTTCTAATATAGCACAGTCTTATTCTGCGTCTTTTTTCCTACGTTAGGTAAAAGTTTGGGAAGGAAAATAAAAATAATATATCTGTTTCATTTATGCTGTCGCTGATTTATTTTGATTTTCCAGAACCTGTATAAATTTTTTTTTTGAGGGGGGGGGGGTGGGGGACTTGTGTTGCCTTGGGAGCAGAATCGTCGGTTGTCTCAGCGTTTATAATACGAGTCATTTTAAGTATCTCCAAAAGACATTTAGGCTGGTTTATGTAGGTAACTTTGGGTTTATTATTATTATATTATTATTATTATTATTATTATTATTATTATTATCATTATTATTATTATTATTATTATTATTATTATTATTATTACAGTAAAACTCCTCCTTCCAGGTGTTGGAGCGACTTGAGGCGTTAACTTGTTGATGGTGAGACAGAGTGGCAGTATAAACCCGTGACGTTGGTGCAAAGGGTCAGGCCAGGTAAGGTAGTGACAGTGTTGTTCTTCAGGTGATGGGAACTGTCTTAAAGTTGATGTACTATGTTTATCGTCTTTCCCTTTTTATTTCTGTCTGCCTGTATGTCTGTCTGTCTATGTCTGTTTGTCTGTCTCAATTACTTTCTTGATTCTCTCTCTCTCTCTCTCTCTCTCTCTCTCTCTCTCTCTCTCTCTCTCTCGTACCCATTTACACTCTTTGCTGAGATTATATTCTTTTCATTATATCAAAAACTGTGATTATTATTTTTATTTAGTTTGTATTTCCGTAAACCCCTGTTCGTATCTCCGTTAACAGAACTATTTCCTCCTGTTCGTATCTCCGTTAACAGAACTATTTCCTCCTGTTCGTATCTCCGTTAACAGAACTATTTCCTCTTGTTCGTATCTCCGTTAACAGAACTATTTCCTCCTGTTCGTATCTCCGTTAACAGAACTATTTCCTCCTGTTCGTATCTCCGTTAACAGAACTATTTCCTCCTGTTCGTATCTCCGTTAACAGAACTATTTCCCCCTGTTCGTATCTCCGTTAACAGAACTATTTCCTCCTGATCGTATTTCCGTTAACAGAACTATTTCCTCCTGTTCGTATCTCCGTTAACAGAACTATTTCCCCCTGTTCGTATCTCCGTTAACAGAACTATTTCCTCCTGTTCGTATCTCCGTTAACAGAACTATTTCCTCCTGTTCGTATCTCCGTTAACAGAACTATTCATGTGTCGGGAAATATGTGTTTTTCGTGTAACTACTCCTCCTCCCAAGGACACGGACGGACGGACGGACGGACGGACACGTAAACATAACTACATAACAGATCAATACTTCTTCCTGTGTATAAGTTGTTCTGGGCGTGGGGGGTAGTTACCGTCCTTCAGAACTACAGGGTACAGAGATGAGTCTCAGTGTAGGTGAGCGTGGGCAGGTAGGGGGTAGGTCGGTGGGTTGTTGCGGGTGGGGGGGACAGTTGGTAGGGGAAGGGGTGTTGGGGAGGGGGAAGTGGAAAGGGGTGGGCGACAGAAGGTAAGGGGAGGTGGTGGTCGAAGGAGGATGGGGGGAAGGTTATAGAGTCACCTGGGAGGGTCGTTGGTTGTTGAGGGGTCGTATGGTCGCTGAAGGGGTTGTGGGGTGGGAGTCGTTGGGTTGCTGGGTTGGGGTGAACAGCGAGTAAGGGAGATGAATCTTATTAAGAGGAGCAACAACAGCAACAGGGCTGGGAGTCGGCTCTCCTGACGGCAACAGTAGCAGGTATAGGTGGATAGGTAGGTAAGCAGACCCCCTGGACAGATCACATGCGTTAAAAGAGCAAGAATAACAACAGCTGCAGTAAGTGTAGCGGCCGAAGACGTTCAGGTAGGCCTCTTGATGGACCGCATGCGCCAGCGAGAATAACAGCTGTAGTGCTTTGGATCAACAACATTAGCGGTAGACAGACAGATAGGGCAGCGGGTAATTCCCTCTCGACAGGCTGCTTGGTCTAATACAGTCGGTGCAGCAACAAACAGCAGCAACAAACAGCACCAACAACAGCACCAACATCAGCACCAACAACAGCAACTTCAGCAATCAGTAACTGACAGGTAGGTAGACCTCCCCCTAACCCCCCGCCCCCCTTCCCCATCTTGACAGGCCGCATGCGCCGGCAGGAGTAATACCAGCAGCAGGGCCGGGCAGGTCGCGGCAGTGTGGTGGGTCTGGCCGGAGCTCAACAGGCGACACCACCACCACCACACGAGGGTCTCCCGCACCCCGGACCACCAGTCAGTCCCCGCACCTACTCCGTCGCGGTCGGTGTTTCTTTGGCCGTTCTTCCCAGCGCCCGGCAGTGTTGTTGTCGCTGAGAGGGGTGACCATCTCCTCCCTCCCCCCTCCCTCTCACCACACTCATCCAGGCGCAAGTGTGGCCAGGAAACTTACCCTTTCTTTTGGCTAATTAGACAACAGTCCTCGCGCGAAAAAGCATGTGGACGTGATACTTCTAATCTCTTAATTTTCCTTAGAGCAAGATTTGATTCGCTGTTATGCTTTCCACTTTTATTTCTGCGTTAGTGTGAGGCGAACTAAACAACTGACACCATGGAACAGCATAAAAAGTTTCACACTAAACTTTTTTTTTAGGTTAAGTTTTTCTTCTTCGTTAACTTTATTGCTTCGCCCGGGAAGAACTATTTACTTTATGTGTGTCAAAAGTTGAAATCATTCGAAGAGAAAACAAACAAGACATGCTAGAGACTTAGCCACTTCAGCGTCTCAAATGACTAAACTCAAGACCTGGAAACAAAAATCGACTGAAACTTGTATCTGAAAGTCCAAGTGAAGTGTGACGTTCAGAGGCAGGACGAGGAGTGGCCGACACGGAGGACCATTTCCAGTCAGTAAGTACATGACTCCTGTAACACCTTCTGTAACACCACCTATAACATCACCCATAGTGCTACTTACAGTACCATCTATATCATCGCTCGTGAAACTTTCAGTATCGTTATGTGTAAAACCTTTATCGTCACCTGTTCCGCCATCTGTAACATCACCCGCAACACCACCTGTAACACCACCTGTAACACTACCCGTAACACTACCCGCAACACTACCCGTAACACCACCTGTAACACTACCCGTAACACCACCTGTAGCATTACCCGCAACACCACCTGTAACACTACCCGTAACACCACCTGTAGCATTACCCGTAACACCACCCGCAACACTACCCGTAACACCACCTGTAACATTAGTCACTGACCTGGTTGGCTCTCAGTGAAGTGCCACCTCGCCACCATCCTTCTCACACGTGCTCCTACAACCATCCCTAATATCCTCACCTTGTTGTCCTCTGGCTGACTGGCTCACGAATCCTTGCGCACCTGTCGTGTTTGTGCACCTGTCGTGTTTGTGCACCTGTCGTGTTTGTGTACCTGTCGTGTTTGTGCACCTGTCGTGTTTGTGCACCTGTCGTGTTTGCACCTGTCACCTGTCGTGTCTGTGCACCTGTCGTGTTTGTGTACCTGTCGTGTTTGTGTACCTGTCGTGTTTGCTGTACCTGTCGTGTTTGCTGTACCTGTCATGTTTTTTGTGTACCTGTCGTGTGTTTGTACCTGTCGTGTTTGTTGTACACTTGGTAAAATAACTATCTTTACAATTCTTGTACGAAACAAAATAACACGAATGAAGGTTTTTTATAAAGGCCAATGAGGCATACCTCGCATTGGTAGCCCTGCGTGTGGATTGATCAGTTCGTAGTTCATCGGACCCCTCCTGAAAGATATTTTTTACCGAGTGTACCTGTCGTGTTTGTGCACCTGTCGTGTTTGTGCACCTGTAGTGTTTGTGCACCTGTCGTGTTTGTGCACCTGTCGTGTTTGTGCACCTGTCGTGTTTGTGCACCTGTAATGTTTGTGTACCTGTTGTGCTCCTCAACCAGTCTCGCTTGTGATACGGTGTACCTCTCTCCCCCCTCGAGGTCATCGTGGACGGGAGGGTTCCCGAGGACCTGACGGGCTTGATAATGAATGGTAACATATTTCGCCTTTATGTATTTTATAAGGTATGATGCATTTAAACGAGCGCCATAAAGTCTCCGGCCGACCCAGCGAGTGAGCTTTTCGTCTCATGGAAATTTCAGCCGGGTTGAAGGCTTGTGTTTTAGGGTTTTGATGCAAGTGAAGTTATAACAATTAAAAAGGGTCAAATAATCTTCTTGCCTTGACGTAAGCTCCATTCATCCCAACTTGGTATTTAAAATGGAGAAAAGTCATAACTCTTCAGATAAGTTTCCATGTAAGGAGAAATACCCTAGGTTGTGGCATCACTGGCACACCCTCCACCACCTTATCGAGTTCCAAAAGCAGAAACCGGAATCGGAAGTGACCTCGCTACCTCACCATGTGTTTGGGAGCTCTGTATACATTTTACGTTATTTCTTGAGAATTTCGCTGAAGACAACCAGGGAAATATAGTGAAAGATGTGCTTGTGAGTTATTGATGAACCCACGAGAGGAAAGGCCTCGGGGACGCCCACCAGGTTAATGCCTACCCAGGGAGCCACAGACTCTCCCCTGTGGGCTTGGTCCGGGTCGATCACATCGCTTAAAAGCTCGCGGTCAGGGGAAATGGTAATAAGAAAAGTCTTTTATAAAATATAAATTCCCCCCAGGCGGACGACCCCGTAAGATCCTACCCTCCTCAGGACCCTCACTAGGACCTACAGGCGGTCATGGGGTTTAGAAGGACACTGTGTATTAAGTCCCTCACGCGACACACGACTCATATCCTGATGCTGTCCGTAAAAGTTGTTGGCAGTGGCACACAGTCGCCTCTCGTTAACACCTGCTTAAGATTCTGCCCTTCATCTCAGTAGTGGGTGGCGGATTTCAATGTCAGTGTCTTGATGTTTGTAAACACTTCATACAGTGTTGATTATAGTCTCTTACCAATGAACACCTTCCAAGATACTGTTGTTATGGTAGTTATTATTAATATTGTATATATGAATAAATAATAGACTTTGGAAGTATTGGGTATGAGCAAAAAATATAAAATATCTTTCTTGTAGGTAAATCCTGATCTCATATGACCAGGTAACCTCCTCCATCTCTTCTTGCCAATTAGCCTCAAGGTGTGTTTTTGGTATCACTTAAGTATACTTGTACCAGCCAGCCACAACACTTAATATGAATTACACAAACACGCACAAACGATAAAACAAACACCTACAAACACACATTAGATTAGATTAGATTAAATTGCCCCGAGGGGCTAGTTTATTGGGCACCCCCTTACATCCTGTGCAAGGTGAAGCACAGAAGCGTTTACAGCGCCCATCTGGGAAGCATGCTAAGTTCATGCTTGCCTTTATGACTCATGCATTAAGGGCGTAAAAGCCTGAAGGGTCATGGGTTTTGTCAGCAAGTTACATAAAGTGACAGAATGATGAGTGTGTGGGGGGAACGTTCCCGGTACATTTTATCTGCTTATGGCAAATGCGTAGCAGGTCCCTAATAATGTCGAGTGCCAGGTCTGTGACTAGGAGAAGGGATATCTGGTCAGGTAGGGAAGAGGTGTTGATAACGGCTGGGGACCTGTAGGAGGAGGTCATAGGGCAAGTGAGGATGTAGTGAGAGAGGGTGTGAGAGTCGGGTTGGGCACAGGATGTAAGGGGGTGCCCAATAAACTAGCCCCCTCCGGGGCAATCTGTAAAAAAAAATCTGTAATCTGTTGGCCACAAAGTTTACAAACAGTGCGGCCAGGCTCAGGGTTGCCAATGTACTCCCATAGGTACCTGTACCCTAGACACAGTCTCATGTACATACGTAATCTGTTGAGATCGAGTCAGGGATTGATATTCTTTGTAGTGGCGGTTGTCGTCACCGGTTACAGCGTCATAGTGACGTAGTGTGACGCTTCCCCGTTGCTTCAGGTGTGTCCAATGTTCGTCGGATGCTTCTCGTTGTGTGGCGTGTATGGGAGATTTGAGATGATTCAGGGAGAGGGCGAGAGTGGCTTCAATATCTTTTTCTTGTGTTGCGGCTTTGGCAAACCGATCAACAGTATCACAGACAGTTATTCCTATATGTGACGGGATCCAAATAAACTTGACACGGATGTCATCAGTTTGTTCTAGCCCGGCGACGGCGGCTAGGGTGTGTTGGGCGGCAGAGGAGGAAGGGAGGGTAATGTGAGCCTCGCTAGCGCAGAAGTGCTGTCACTGATTATAAGGAAGTTCCGGCGTTCAGTGCGAGCATAGGTCGCCCCCTCATGAATGCCCGCGAGGATGGCTATGCTTTCAGTGTCCGTGGAGGAGGCCCAGTCGTGGAACCCTGATTTTCCTGCTGGCCTGGCGCTCAGGAATCCACACAGCTGCCCCAGCGCTGCCCAGCGTGGTAACAGACCCATCACAGTAGACGAGGATAGGAGGGTGGGAGGTAGTAAGAGAGGAGGCGACATCATTAATCTGTTCAAGGCAGTTAAGTTTGAGCATATACCGCAGTTGGGAAGGTGCGGACGACAACATCAACACTCGGGGAAGTTCACTGCTGTAGAGGCGGATGAGTGTACTGGGGAGGGAGAGGTCGAGGGGGTGTAGAGGTGATGACGCAGGATGTCAGCAGCAGTGTGGACGGCAAACACACACACACACACACAAGGAAACAGAAGCACATACACGAAAACACAAACACACACGAAAATACAAATACAAACGAAAACACAAACACCACCGAAAACACAAGCACTCACTCGACAACCCAAACACACCCACGAAAACACAAACACACACAAAAATTACACACACAAAATACAAACACATACACGAAAACACAAACACACACACGACAGTACAAACACGCACACAAAAAACACAAACATTCGCTCGACAACACAAACAACACACACACACACACCAACATTTCTAAAGACAAACGCAATATGCACATTAATTGCCATCATTGTTTACATTTGCTAGTGGTCAAGTATGGACAGGTAATTGTAAAGACATTCATGAAGTAGAACAACCAACACGTACTCCCGGAGAACCAGTGGGCGGCATAGCTAATGACTCCGTGGGGCGGCTCACACACACACACTATAAGTCAGATACATTATCTTTTCTTGGTTCATTGTCGAGGCGTTTTCCTTCATTTGGGTTATTTTCCTTACTTCACTTTCACCATCAACCACCACTATCACCACCACTATCACCACTACTAATACTACTACCACCACCACTATCACTACCACCACTACATAGCCACTAACCACCATTACCACCCTTACCGTCACCACTACCGCTACCACTACCACCATCATCATCACCACTACTACTACCACCATCATCACCACTACTACCACCATTACCACCACTACGACTAACCCAGCTGTCACCAGGGAGGGAAAGTAATATATACAGTTAGGTTGGCGGTGAACGGATTGGAAAATAAAATTACCTCCACATCAACGTGGATTTCCGTCCCCAATCATAACCACGCCCACACGCCCACCCTCTTGAATAACCACGCCCATTTTCTTGGATAACCACGCCCGCATACACCTACTTACCTTACATACCCACGCCTACTATACTCGTATATAGGATAACCACGCCCACACACTTGTTTCTTAATCATAACCACGCCAGTTTCCTCATTTCACGCCCTCAGCTATATCCTTAACACACCCACGCCCACGCTCTTTTATGAACATGCCACACTCACACGCCCATTTTCTCACAACTTTACGCCCATATCCACTTCCTTATCCCTGCCGCGTCCGCAAAACAATCCTTAAAAGCACCCACGCCCACATATTCACTTCCATCACACCCACGCCCGCACATACACTTATGAATGTGTTATTAAACTCATATTCTTTTATCATGTAA